CCACAACTAGACTGAAGAACAAAAGGACAGCAACTTGTCTGTTCCCCTTCCCCAATTCCCCAATGCTGTTCCCATCCCCCAATTCCCCAATAAAATCTTAAAAAAAAAAAAAAGAGTGCGAGCTCTGAGCAACAGAGTTGCCGGTTCGATTTCCAGGCCTGAGCTGAGCTGCTGCTGAGCCGCCAACAGGTGGCAGGATGGCTCAGCTAAAATAAATAAATAAAAATCAAATCAGATTGACGTCACGAAAGATATAAAGTGTTTAGGTCAATTTAAGAGCTGAGGAAATACCATGCTGCTTGTTCTGAAACTATCCAACGTGTGATAGTCTGGTGTTGATTAAATAGAGGAACAATTGAAAAAATGTGAATACAAGAATTACATACATATACTACAGTGCCAAACACTGTACCGTAGGCTTTAAAATTATAAATTATATTATTTCCAATAGTAGCTTGATGGGAGTCATTCCTTTAGCAACTCAGCCAAACATGCCATTTTCTCTCTTTTCCCAATCATTTTTTTCTATTAACACTTCCTATATTTGCCTAGTGGCTATGTGAGGTACGATAATTAAGTTTGCAAACTTGTTGCAATGATGTTGCTAACCTTTTTTTGATATCAGAGGGATTACTCATTATGAATTTGTACCAACTGGACAAACAATTAACCAAGTTTACTATTTGGAAGTGCTGAAAAGGCTGTGTGAAAAAGTTAGACAATCTGAACTTTTCGCCAACAATTCATGGCTCTTGCATCATGACAGTGCACCAGCTCACACGGCAGTGTCTGGGAGGGAGTTTTTAGCCAGTAAACAACTGTATTGAAACACCCTCCCTACTCACCTTATCTGGCCCCCAGTGACTTCTTTCTTTACTGAAGAGAAAGGAAATATTGAAAGGAAGACATTTTGATGACATTCAGGACATCAAGGGTAATGTGACGACAGCTCTGATGGCCATTCCAGAAAGTTCCAAAATTGCTTTGAAGGGTGGACTAGGTGCTGGCATTGGTGCATAGCTTCCCAAGGGGAGTACTTCAAAGGTGACCATAGTGATATCCAGCAATGAGGTATGTAGCACTTTTTCTAGGATGAGTTTGCGAACTTAATTGTCTGACCTCGTATTATCTATCAGGTTGGAAGGAGGGCTATCATCTCTGTCAGGAGATTTCATTTACATTACCTGCCTGATTTCCAATAATTCAAGCACATCAAGTCTCACAGTCCTATTCCTGTATTTTCATACTATTTTCTTTTAGAATAGACTTTTTAATAACTAGTTTTCAATTTTTAAAGATATCTATTCAGATTCACAGAAATTTCAATAAAATCTAATCTGATGGATGTGGGTGACACGTTCTCTTTTCTAAAACAACCCCCATCCACCCATTATTTTTTGTCTTTTATTTGCAATTGGTTGTACCCTATTTAGGTGAAACTTTATTGCCAAATAGAGTGAATACCAAAAGGCGTGGAGTCTGTGTTTAATATATGCAATAAGGCAGAGTTAAAATCCTGTCAACATCACACAAAATCAGAATCTGAGTGTTATAAAAGACTTTAAGGACCATGTTGTACAAACACCATCTATCCTTTGTGTGTATGTGACCACCAGGTTTTTTTTTTTAAACCGAAGCTAATAGTCTTCAAGAGAGAAAAACGCTTCAATAAAACAAATCAAAACAACTGCAAAAGAAATGGTAATTCTAGCTACTTTGTAAAAAAATGTTTGTTCTTGGCTGTTCCCTTCCCTTAATTCCCCAATAAAATCTTTAAAAAATAAAAAAAAATTTAAAAACATAAAAAAATGTGTTTGTTCCTTGAGGTAGCTTGCGTAGGGATGAATGATAGTCGGCCCTCCAGCAACTGCACCTGTAGGGGATTTAAGTAATCCGAATGCCTTTCGGTAAGTACCACGGTGACATTCTGTAAATATACTTTGGGACCACAAAGGAGGAAGCAAGCGATTTCACTCCAAAGGTTACACCTTCAGAAGACAGGTAGAATGGCCTTCAAGAATGACCAAGAATTACACAAGTGGACAAAAATGAAAGTATTTTAACTTTCGGGAAAAGCAAGAGTGTCTCTGACACCTAAGAGTTACAGATAAGAATCTGCAGGAAGATGTTTAAAAGGGTCGCAGCAATGGACGCTTTTAAACAGTGGATTTCTGCCTTAGCTGCATATAAGAATCACCTATGAAGCTTTTTAAAACTCCCGAAAACCAGACCTCACATCAGACAATTTAAGTCAAAGCTGTGGGGCTGGCACAGTATTTTTTTAAAGTTCCTCCCCCCGCGATTCCAAAGTGCAGGTGAGGTTGAGATCACCGTTTTGAAGTAGGAACCAAATATTAAACGTGGATTTTCGGGGGGAAAGTGGTGGTAGGACAGAGAAGATGAACTGAAAGCCCTGGTAGAGCAGGGCGGCTACAGCAAGAGCAGGAACAAGGACCGAGTGAGAGCCAGCAGGAGAGGGTATAAAGGCTGTTTCTGTGGTAGAAGTGCCGGAATTTGGGGGTCACTAATGAGATCAGTATCCATCCAACTCCATTAAAGTGAAGTTATTCTGCCAGCAGCCCTGCTCCTACCTCCAATCATATTTTCTCGCATCTTTTCCCACAGTTAAAAAAAAAAAAACAATGACGGAAACGTTTTCTATCCCACGAAAGGCGCATGAGCAAACTGGGGGCGGTGCAAAGACCTGAGAAGTCACCAGTGCGCAGCTGCTACAATTTCTTGGCAATTCCATAACCACAACTCACGAACATCTACGCGGGAGCCGCCCCGGCCGCGAAGGCGCCACCCTAGAGAGCGTGGATAATTACCTCAGGGCAAATTGGAGCCTTTTAAACCCTGAGAGCGGTGAAGGCAAGGGCGGGGCAAATACGTTCGCGGTGACGACTCCGGCTCCTCCCACACACCCGCTTCCGGTGGCGCACGGTCCCCGCTTCCGCTTTTCCAGTCCGCGCGCCGGCCCCGCCCTACTCCCACGCGCCCCCCGAAAGTCCCGGCCCCCCGACAGCCGGGAGAAAAAGCACAGGTTGGTGTCGGGAGTCCCCCTGCAGGTTCCCCTTCCGTTCTGCCTAGCGACTTCCGCTTTGGGCCGTCAACATGGACGCTGCAGCTACCTGGCGAAGCGGCCTCTGATCAGTGGCAGAGGCGCAGCTTCCCTGCAGCTGCAGCCCCGCTTCCCCGCCCTCTCCCCCGCCCTCTCCCCCGCCCTCTCCCCCGCCCTCTCCCCCGCCCCTCGCGCCCGTCCCTGGGGCTGGCGGGCTCATCGCTACATGGGGGCGGGCCTCCGCGCCCGGCGCACGGCTTCCTGTTCAGAGGCGGTCTGGCTGTAGGCGGCGGCGACTCTGCCCGCGCCCATTTCGGCGCGGTGACCGAGCGCCCGGGAGGCTCGAGCGCCGCATCTTGTGCCGCTGCGCCAAGCCCAGCCCTGAGCCGCCATGGCCCCAGTGCAGCTGGAGAACCACCAGCTGGTCCCGCCCGGAGGCGGTGGCGGAGGCAGCGGCGGCCCCGCGTCAGCCCCGGCTCCTGCTCCTCCTGGAGCCGCCGTGGCGGCAGCCGCTGCCGCCGCGGCCAGCCCTGGCTACCGGCTGAGCACCCTCATCGAATTTCTGCTGCACCGGGCCTACACGGAGCTCATGGTGTTGACGGACCTGTAAGTGCCGCGAAACCCATGCCTGCACCCCAGCCCCCCCTTCCCGCCCAACTGGCTAAGAGGTTTGCACCTCTCTCTCCCCTAGAGGCTGCTGTTTTCTCCTCTCTGCGGGGCTGCTTAGTCTAGAATTTCAGAACTCCTGGGACTCAGCGGAGGTGGAGGAGAAGCTTGGCATTTGGGGGTCTTTCTGGAGAAGCAACCGAGACTTGTTAATTATGCATGTTGTTAGGCTTGCTCTGAAAACACCGTCTTTGAGGTTTTTGCTCAAGTTGCTAACCGAACCCTATTGATTTTCTAGGCTGGAAGCTTTTTAGCTCAAAGCCCAAAATTAAGGTTTAGGAATACATAATATTCGAGCTTTAAGAAAATCCCAAAGTCGGGAAATCTGTTTTACAGCCTCTTGACGGCACATTTTAAATGTGGATTGTAACTGCTTTTGACTAAGTTTAAACTCAGGAGATGTGTATAGAAGAATCCTTTGGATTCCAAGTGTTTTTTTCCCCTGAAACGTTTGAGAGTGTTTGAAATCTTAACGCAATTAGTGTAAGTAAAAGATTTTTTGTAACTGGCCTGCTGTTGTTATTTCTTCAAGTGCGAAAGGAATTTATAAATCACTAAGTTAGCTATGAAATGTCTTGGGACATGATCAGGGTGTCAATCCCCTTCAGAGTTGGGTCAGAATATACTAATGATTTTCAGCGTGTGAAGAAAAGGCACTGTAAAATTTGGGGGCATATATACTTTAATTACTGTTTTATGTGTTTTGCTCCAGGTTCAGAAAAAGGTAAGAATTATTAGTTTTTATCCAGATTAGTTTGTATGTTTTATCTGTTGCTAGACTCCAGGATCAGTGTTTTCAATTGAAATAATTAGTATATGGATATTAGACTAGAGTGTCAGTAATTTGTTGCTAGAGTTAAAATATTTGTTTGCAGATAGCTAAAAGAATTAGAAAAAGTTCCACTTCTTCTTGTAAACCATTATTCTCACTCAATTTTGATATATTGTGCTTAATTGAATGGGACAGAAAGAAGTCTACCCTTGTCTAAGGAGAAACTTAAATAGGTGACATGATTGGAGATTATTGTAGTAATATACTACTCTGCATCGTTTATTGTTGGATTTCATAGAAATCCAAAAAAAAAAGTCCAAGAGTAGCCATGCGAAAATTTCATGTACGTAAAGGTCACCTGTTCTGTGTCTAGCCACGGAAAAGTGTTGAAAACTGCTTCTGTCAGTGGTTGTGTAGTTCGTTTTTCCGTAGGGGATTTGTAGTAATTATTTGAATTACATTGTAGTGTTCTTACTATTTTAGGACTTAGTTATGAAGAGAGAAACCTCTATTTTATCACTGTAGAATACGTATATAGTTTTAATCCCATGCATGCCCTTTGAAAAATAATGGTTCCCATAACTTACATCTCCAGCATAGACCTCTCCACTGAACTCTGGACTCTATATCTAGATGCCTACATTTAAATACCTAACAGGCATTTCAGTGTTCCAAGTCCAGAACCCCACTCCTACTTCAACGTGATCCCCCCAAACCTTTCCTATCTCACCAAAGTAGTAGCTCCATTTTTCCTATTGTTGCTGAGGCTAAAAATATTGGAATAATTCCTATCTCCTCTTTTTTCTAGTCCCACACCCAATACATCAGCAAGTCTTTTCATCTCTGACTTCAGAATCTGACCACTTTTCAATATTTCTATCAAGTGTTATTCCTTCACCCGTGTTACTTGAGTAGTTTGCTAACTGGGTTTTCCTCCATAAAACAGGCAGGATGATTCTTTTAAAACTTTTCTGCTTACAACCCTCCGGTGGTCCCCCATCTCACTTAGAGTAAACGTTTTTACAGTCAGCTGTTTATAAGGTGACCATAAAATTCATGGTCTAAATCAGAACACTTGAGCGTGAAAGGTGGTGCTGTTAGTAATAATGTTAATCTCAGTTTATGTCTGTTGCTCTATCTTGGGCAAACCAGAACATGTGGTCACCTTACCTTTAAGGCCCTACATGATCTGTGCCTTCTCTCCCTTCCCTCTTTAATTTCACTTCCTAATACTCTCCTCCTTGCTTATTCTGTTTCAGCCACTCTACCCTCTTGATGTTTCTTGAAAGTGGCAGGCACACTCCCCCCTTTGCACTTCCCCAGAAATCTGTATGGTTTGCTTTCTCATTTCTTTTAGGTCTTTGTTCAGATATAACTTACCAGAAAGACTTTCTCTGACTATCCATGAAAAGCCTTGTGCCTCTTCACTCTATCCTTTACTCACTGCTCTGTTTCTCTGTACAGCACTTACTGCCACTGGGCATTATTTATTGTCTGTCTCCTCCCCACTGGAAGCTCAGAAGCTCAGTGAGGACAGGGATTTTTATTTGTTTTGCTACTTTCGCCAGGACCTAAAACAATACCTGGCACCTAGTCAGGGTTTAACTAAGTAGTTATTGATTTAATACATCAACGAATGAATTTTTATAATTGTCATTGTAGACCATTGATAATTTTATGGGAAAATTCACTGTTGCTCTTGATACACACACACAATATAAAATATCTTTTCCCTATTTTGATTGGTGGTAACCAAAATTAGTTTAGGAAGTTCCTAAATCATCTTTTTTTTCCTTGTCCAAGTAGAAACTGTCAGGATTAATGCATTAATAATGTAAAACCAGTGTTCTAGATAACACTTTATAAGAGTCTTATTTCTGCCACATTTGATGCTTGTCTGTGAGCTAGCGAAAGTAAAAAGGACAGCCTTGGTTGGCATTTTAGACGGTTTGTTTTTGGCTCCAGATTTCTAGTTTTTTTCCTTCTCCTTCTGACCCCCACAATCGCCCAATATACATACTCTGCCTTGACTTTGTAGGGACTTCTACTCCTTTTTAAAAACCCCTTAATTAAAATCAGAAAATGCCAGAACCTTATCACACTTCAAGTTTCTGTGACTCACCACTTCCCAAAATTTGCATTTTAAGGCATTTGCCCCAAATGGTATATTTGTTATCCATAAATGAATTTTAAATAATAGATTAGGAGGAATTGGGGGGAAAGGGATGCAGACAGCAGAGCCTATCTTTTGTCCCTGAAATGACACCACCTCTGACATGAGATGATCCCTGGGGCAGGTGTGAAGAGCTGGAACAATGATTCCTGTTCTCTCTACCTCAAGTCTCTACTCTTCTCTCTCCCCCTCCCCCCCTCTCCCCCTTTTCCCCTCTTTCCCTCTTTCCTTCTTTCCTTCTCGCCTTCTTGCCCTCTCTCCCATAAACCCCTGGTTCTTATTTATTCTCCCCTTCCTTGATGATGGGAATTGTGGCTTCTCTAGGAGTGTTCTCAGGGACTTTTCACATGTAGAGGGACTTGCCAGTAGCTGGTTTTATTTGCAGCCTTACACTAAAACCTTAATTTCTGCTTCATCATCTGATCTGTTGGTCTTTCCAGCCCCCACCTCATTGTCTTTATTAGTCAGGTTATATCTTCAGCTTCCATCCCACTATCTGTCCTAAGAATTGTAGGTAACTACAAGCCAGCACTGATTTTGATAGTTTTCCCTCCTTGTACTTTGAATCTCTGGAGGTGGTTTTAGTTTTTCTGCATCCATGGAATGTGGGTGGGTGAAGAGGATCTAAGGGTCTTGGTGTGTATTCTTCAAGAACTGATTAAATGTAGGGGAGGCTTTAGAGTTGTTCAGGCCATTGAATCCTGGACCATGGGAATGGAGGTTTACAGAAGATGGCAATTCAGGAGGCAAATCAGGACCTTTCATTTCTAGAAGCATCAGTGGATGTGAGAGTGTTAAATGGTATAATTTGTCAGGGAAAATGGTGACATTGGTTGCTGGCTATCAGTACTGGAGAACTAGCAGAAAAAGAAATCAAAACCTCACTGGAGCTGTTTAAAAGTAATGTAAATCATTTACGTCTAACCACATGCAACATCATAATTACTGTAAAAACTTTGGCTGACACTGGCCCTTTTGTGTGCTCAGCTTCCAGTTTTGCCCACGTAACAAAACAGAGGGATTACTGCTTGGAAGCAAGGTTCCACTGGGACAGGGAGGCCGGCAACTGAGTAGTAGTCTGCATCGGTGACCATTTTGGACTTCAAAGAATATTTTCTCTGACTTTCTCTGACATAGTGTGCTAATGTAAGACAGGCTTATTAAATGTTTGAGGTTCGTGCAATACCTTCTGAAGCATTTTGAAAGGAGAGAAATGTTCCTTTGTTGATTTTTCCCTTATAGCCATATTACTGGAAACTCATAAAAGTAAAAAAGTGTAGGTAGCCACACAAGCCTGTAGTGGCTGTTTATCCAGTTTTTCGAAAACACTGAGGTATTTAATAGAGTCAAAATAAAGGCCATTATCATATTTTGATGAAGGTATGCATATATTTAGTCACTTCCTCTTTTTTTCTTTTTAGACTGCCAAGGAAATCTGATGTGGAAAGGTGAGTATGAAAAAAACCTTAAATCTATGTCTGTGTTGATATATCTATGAATGTGTATGTAAGTACAGGTATGAGAGAGTGGGTGTGGGTGGTAGGGCTGTGGATCGGAAACCTAAGCCCAGAGAACCTAGGGTGATTTTTTTTTTTTTACACCATTTGTTTAGGGAGCCCTGGGAAATGTCATTTCCTCATCCTTGATAATTCTTGGTGTGAGACCAGCTCTGGACCTTATGTACTAGAAACCCATATTGAGCCACTGACCAGGTCAAGTGCCTGAGGGGGATAAGAAGATATAGAAGATATAGAACTTAATGGAAGAA